CATCTAATAGCTAAGATAAGAGATGATTTATTTATTTGATCGTGATAAGAGATGATTTATTAATGGGGAGATTTCTATTGTTTTTACCAAATCACATGAAATTGCATTGGACTTAATATCTGAACTATACAAATTAAAACATTTTTTAATTTCAGAGATAATAAAGAAATCATTTGAGAATTGCTTTTAGCATCTAATGAATCCACACATTTCTGCCACTTTTGTTATTGCTGCTCAGTGGCGGACCCAGAAGTTTTCTGAAGAGGGGGCACTCCCGCATAGATAAAAATGGGTCGGATTGGGTCGCATCGGGTGTACCATTGATCTTTTTTGTCAAGTGTGTTCAAATTATTATTTTTAACTTGAAATAGATTATTCAATGTCGGCTTCAAACAATGAACATATATGGATTATAAGTCTACTTTTGAACTTGTTGACACAATTCTAAACAATAATATTTGGTTTTTTTTATAAAAACACATAATTTTGGATTAGAAATGATTCATCCTTGTGCCGTTTCTGGTTTTACATTAGAATTCTCGTTATTTTTGATACTATAAAATGATCAAGATTTCAAATCTGAACTAGGATCATGTCGAATGCTACACATTGTGCCATAAAATTTGTTGGTACTTGTCTGAAATATAATACTATCATGTTAAAAATGAAGTATACATCAAGTTTATGATTTCAACCTTTAATACAACTTTATTTAATAATGTGATTCTATATATCTAACTTATATCATACTATAGATAAAAAAAATCGAAGGGTTTGTCGGTTTGAAACTTATTTATGGTGAATTGACACATTTTTTCGTGTATGCACTTTTATTCAAGATAAAAAATTTGAATCTATTAAGTTCATCCCACGTATTAGAATCTTTGTCATATCTTTGACCTTTAACTTTGGATAAACATTATTCACACCATGTAAAACAATCATCAATGCCATTTTTCATATAAGGTGTAGTGACCATATCAGGGTTTGCTCCATCACAACTCAACTTCATGGTTGTTTATATTTCTTATTACTAGAATTGTTATATGTCTTTCACGGAGTCCTATATATCTAATAGTTTTTTGAAATAATGACAATATGATTGAAATAAAGATAGAGGACAAAAATACGACTTAGTAACTATCATAGTAATTTTAGTGACCATGATTGTGTTCAACTCTATCAGTATAATAACTATGCATAATAACTACTTCCTCCGTTCTTTTTTAATTGCAACGGTCAACATTTCATGTTTGCCAACGCACATGTTTGACCATTAATATCTTTCATTCCCTATTATTAAAAAATTTAAAAAAAAATCATATTTTGAAATTTTAGAATGTCAAGAATTTAACAATATTTTTAAAATTTTAATTTATTATACATCAATTAATAAAATGTAGTCAAAGTAGAAGATGTGAATAGTGCAAAAAGTCCAATGTTGCAACTAAAAGAGAACGGAGGTAGTATTTTTGTCCATTAATTATATTTTGTCCATTAATTATATTTTTGTAATATCTATGGAAAAAAACTTTATTTTTTGTCCGGGTAGCGGGGGCACAATTTTTATCTTAAGTACTAATACTAAACTTTGGAATCGGAAGAGGGGGCACTTGCCCCCCTAGGACCCCCCAGGTCCTCCACTGTTGCTGCTGGATTGGCCATAAGGCTTGCATCAATAGTTCTATTGAACCCGGAATTGGTCAAGGGATTGCCGCGGGTCAAGCTGTAGAGGGGATCGCATGCAGGGGAATCTAAGGCATGCAATCTATTACTTATTCTAGTTTTTAGGGAAGTTTTAACAATTTATAGATTGTTTGTTGCATTAGCACTTTTATTTGCGGATCCTTTTGTTTAATTTAAATGGTAAGAATAAGAAAAAGGCTATTGAGGTTTTTTTCAAATGATATTAAATTATATTTCAATTGCTTTCATCCTTTCCAGTCTTAGTTAAGGGTCACTTTTTTTAGAGATGTTTATTTTTTCAGCGGCCGGGACAAATTTGCGTCCTGATTTAAGCAGTATAATTGACGGCACTAAAGTCATACGTGCCTTAAAATAAATTCAATACTTAACAGTTAACACTTATACGTAATATAGTGAAGTAAGGTAGTTTGTATCCACAGAGAAAGAAATAATTTTGTTTAAGGAAACTAGTACTTAAAAAGGGGGGATTTTGGGATTGTTTGATTTTAATTAATTAAACACTAAGATGAACGACTTATATGATTTTAATTAATGACATAAAAGACTTGGTTTTGCTACTTTCCACTTGTTGATATGTTTGTTGATCCCGGTTATATCTATAACTTATTCCCTCTCGAATACTCAAATGATGACATCTCCAATTCATCGAGGGTAGTTATTAATAACGACCATTCATTAATAACCCTTACTATTAGCAAAGTATAGAACACTGTCATATACCGACTTGATAGTAGCATTTAATATTTTAATTCCTTGATGAAATCAATTGAGATTGATAACCTCAACACAACGGTTTCGCTTTAATCAACACATTAATCCCTCTTAATATTATTAACCACAATTGTGTATTAATAACCCAAGTTACTTACTTGTGAAACCATCAATGATTAACCATCGGGGTTCATTGATTGTTTCTAGTAGTAACGTAATTAATGTCAAGATGTTAACTAATTGTCATTTAGCAACACTCCTCAACATTAATATAGAGATAGTCAGATAGAAAAAGGGAAGAATTAATATTCAAGGGAAGAAGTAAGAAAATAACTCACAACTTTAACATTCAACAAACTTCAAGAGCAAAACCAGGAAATGGAAGTTTAGCTCCTCATTTGGAGACTAAACAATGCTAGAAAAATATAATGAAAATACTATTCTAAGTTGAGCTTAAGTATATGGAAGAATGGGTGCTTAAAAGTAAAGGAAAATGGTGTTATTTATATGTGTTTAGCACAAACTAGTCCGGATACCCGACCAGGTATATGAGATACCTGACCGGGTATTTGTCAAATCATATCTTTTTCGCATGTCTCTGTGTTTTTCCGCACGTCTTTTTGCCTGAAATCACTTCATACCCGACCGGTATATGGAATACCCGACCGGGTATTTGTGTAATTTCGCAGCAGCTTCATTTTTCTCTTCATACCTGACCGGGTAAAGAGTATATCTGGTCGGGTAAGTCACCAAATCACATTTCTTGCATGATTTCTTGCTCCCTTGCACCTTGCACCTTGCTCCTTTGTTGTGAACAAATTTATTCAAGTTCTAGATCTTCTAAAACTAATAAATTACAATAAACTAGAAAAATAAAAGGTTGCACCGTAAATGTGCAATTACTACAACAACACACCGTAAAAACCAATTAAAAATAAACTTAAGCATTCCAAAACCATTGCAATCAGTAATTTGTGTGACCAGGAACCCAGACAATATGCCTAGGATTAGCCGCTTCTATGGATCTTTCCTTTAAGTTGGGGGAACAATTACAATACGTCTAGCATTCCATCACGCTTGGATCCAATGAGGATCTAAAGAGGTAGATTGTGCCTTCATTATATGAATGTCTATATATATGCCCTCGTTTTATTCTAGAGAATCCATTCAGGTGAAACACCACAACTTCCCTTTCTACTTTACGTAATTAAATTAGCTCACGCTTTTTCTAGTTTTTCAATAGACTCCCACGCAATTCTTCTCCACCTCCGAAGCGCAGCTAACACTATAATCACAAGCAAAAAGTTTTTTGTAGCGTGTTCAATCAAACGGGTTATTATTAGCACCAACTACGGATTCCATACTAGCCTCCATAAACTTAAATTCCATAACCCCTATTGCGATAGGAATACCATTAACTTGGCCTAGACTTATTTGAACATCTTCAAATAACTTATGTTCAATTTTTACACTTAAGTAACTGTGAGACAATACCATAATAATTATTAATCATATTATTGTAAATAAATTTTATTTCAGTAACAATTTTGAAGAACCCTCTTCTTTAATTGCTTTTTATTTGAGATGGTTGTTGGTAGATTGAGGACTAACACAAGCTAGGGATGTTTTTATTTGGACTGAAATTTGTTGGTCTGATCTAGTCTGGTCTGTTTAGGTCTGGTCTGAACTGGTCTGGTAAATGTGTGGTCTATGTGTATTTTATAGAGAAAATTATCACTAATATTACTAAAATTCATGTGTTTCCCTAGAACATGACTAATTATGTTTTTTTCCTATAATGATGCATGTTACCATCCATATGATTAATACTCACTTCCTATTTTTTTAGTGACAACCATGTAGTACTTCACCATTATTGATTGGTCCTATTTTTGTGGCACATAATTTGGTAATACACCACATCAAGGCTGAAACTCACTTCATTAAGTTTCAAACCCTTATGTGCCTAGCTAGCGGGTTTCGAACTCGAGAGCTCTCGCTAGGCATGGTAACCTCACAACCAGCTAGGCTGGAATACTTGGTTAGTGGTGAGTTTTAGTAATATCAGAGTATTTTTCCCAATTTTATAACTACATAATTAAGTCAGGTCAGGTATGGTCTGTTTGAGTCTGGTCTGGTTTAGGACCTACTGTTTGGTTTTCCTTAAATAGGACTAATCATTCCACTTTTACCCCTAATTGAATTAATTAATTAATTAATTAACCCAATTATTCCCCCCGTTCTCTTGCACAATTAAGACAGTCTGTTTTTGGCGGGGCAGTCCGTTGGTGGTGGCGCCATGGCGGCAGTGGCGGCGTTGGACTCTGGCGGCAACGGACGGCGGCAGCGGCAGAAGTGATAATAATAATTATGTTATAATAATTATTATAATTATTATTATTTTAATTATAATAATAAAGTGATAAATCATGTTTGAAATTTTCTGATCTGGTCTGAATGTTTCTGATCTGTTCTGCTCTGAATCTTTCTGATCTGATTTGATCTGGTCTGAATAAAATAAGAATAAAACGAAGATAACCGCTTCTTAGCTCTCATCCCTCAAATATCGTCAATTATTAGTCAAATTAATTAGTTCTACTCACCTCATTAGTCATTACCGCCTTCTAAAACAACCTCCCACTTCCCATCCACTCTCTGATCAGTTGTTGTCATTCTCTCCATTAACGTATTACTCCTAGGACTGAGCCTAAGCACAAACTAGAGATCAACTCAAGACTAGCTTTAATTGCGGTGATAATCGATCCGGCCAGCTAATTATATGGCAGTAAGAAGCTGGTCCATGATTATGAGCAGTACCATTTCCGCATTAACGTTGTTACCATGTTTCGCCATTATCTTTAATGATGAAGCCGAGGCTGTCATTACTCCAGCAACAACGTTAATTAATGTGGTGAGGTTAGGCGCAAAAGGCGACGGCGAAACGGACGCGTCAAACGCGTTTCAGCTCGCGTGGTCTTCGGCTTGTGGGTCCCGCGACCCCGTCACGATTTACGTGCCCAGGGGAACGTTTTCCGTCCGGCAGGCCCACTTTAACGGCCCGTGCGAGAACCCGCACATCACCTTTCGGATTCTGGGCACCCTGGTTGCACCGTCCGATTACCACGTCATCGGCGATGCCGGTAACTGGCTGGCGTTCCATCAAGTTGACGGCGTCTCCGTCCACGGCGGCAGGCTTTCCGGCCAAGGCGCCGCCATCTGGGCTTGTAAGAGTTCCGGCAAGAAGTGTCCCAACGGTGCAACGGTACGCACGTACATCATCAGTCTCTTCATTCATTAATTCTAGCCTATTACGTACATTTGTTTTTGTAATTTATGTATCGTCGTCCGTAATTTATTTAAGAAATTACTCGTTTTTTTGGTGTTCTATATATTACTGGATTTTTTATGAATCTAGTAACGGTTACATTTCGTCCAGTGAATGGCGAAGTGGGGGAGATTTAACGATGACTCGTTTACTCGCACTAAGTAGAAAAGAGCAAATTAGCAAAACCAAACAGATCGAGAAGCAGATATCTTTAAGAAATTAAAAGACGTGACTAATTAAAGTTAGTTTATAAAAATATGATCTGGCCTGGTAAGTATAAAGATTATAATACTACGTAGTAATTTTAATCATAATAGCTTAAGTTCAATTCTTATATTGAGTCATGACATTCCATATTATTTCACGTACCTTGAGACAGCTTTATTCATGTTTTAATTTGTTTCAATAATATTTTTGGAAAAACTCAAATTAAAATCAACACTATTTAAAAAATTTGCAAAACAAAAGTTACGTTAATTAATTATTCCTGTTAATATTTGAATTAGTGTTTGTACTTGTTAAAACTCATTTTCGCAGAAACCAACTAGAAGCTCAGTAAAATCATCATCGTTCAATCCTCATCATTTGTGTTGGTTGCAAGACATAGCAATTAAAATTGGAAGTTCAATTTTATATTTTATATCATATACTCCGTACTAAATTAAGATTAATTAAAGTAGTCACCCAAAGCATCTCAAGCTATATAGATATAAGCCATATTTGCAATTTTAGCCTGTGCGATCGTTATCGTTATTGATGTTGTAACGTTAATCACTTCCAAATTTAGTATCATAACTAATAAATCTTTGCAATTTAAGGACTTTTCCACCGGAAAGTACACTTTCCGGCAACAAATTCCAATACCGGCGACATCTTTTTCGATATATTATCGACAGAAAGTATGCTTCACAAAGGAAATTAAAAGTCCTTAAATCACAAATATTAATTAGTTACACGACTAAATTTACAAGTTACTAAAGTTATTGTACTAACAATTAATTAAAACGGCCGAAAGCTATAGGAAGAAAATTGTAAATTTCGATCCCTAGATATAATTCAAATTGAAATGCATTTAATTGTTTGTTTCCGTTCAATGATTTCACATAAAGTAATTCACATAAGAGTAGGGGATCCACGTATATGGTGAATTAAAGTTTGGTGTGACTTATTTTTTCAATTAAAGAAACAAAAGTAATTCAACCCTGTCTTTATGAGGAGTATATTTGAAGTAATTTTATGAAAAATCTCCACTTAGTTATATTTTTAAATTAAAAGCACTTTTCCAAAGGATTATTGGTATGATATATGAACCCACTTTCAAGTTTTAAATATGGAATTAGGGGAACTATAACATGCCAACGGAAATTAAATCAAAGAACACGAGAATCATAACAGTGAATGTATCTAGCTAGTAGCTAGCTAGCTAGCTGCTTACTTCTAAATAAAATTTGACCATAATAAACATACAAAATCCATCGGGAATGATTATGTTACATGCGTGCCGCGCGCGGGTATAGATAAAACAAATTAATCCAGCCAACTAGCCAAGCTAGCTTTTATTTAGCCGTTTCTTAATTTATTGTGCTAGAATATACGAAGTATCTCTCTTAACAAATACAGGTATCAATGTAAAAGATCCAAAAGAAAAAAGACGTAAATTACTATGCATATATGATAGTGTCAAGAAGTCGATTGATTAGTGATCAAACTTCCTTCAGGATCTCCGCAATTTGTAACGAGAATTCAAAAAAGATAGAATATTGATAATTTGGATTATGGAATTTGAGAAGTCGATTGAGTCGAAATGGAGCCTCCAATTAGAAAATCGACTATGAAGAGATCATTAATTTGCTTAGGAGAGATTAATGATATAGATTAGTGAAGAAAGCTAGGTATGTAGCAACTCTAGCTAGGAGCAAGAAAGGTACTACGTACTTGTCATTTTTTCTTGAACATATTTGTTTTAATTTGTTGGGTGTGGCATGTAGAATTTATCGTTTACAAATGCGAAAAACATACTTGTAACGGGGCTGATATCACAAAGTAGCCAAATGTTTCATCTTGTGATCAACGGGTGCCATAACGTGACGGTGGAACACATCGAGATCGAAGCACCGGGAGATAGTCCCAACACGGACGGCGTTCACATTCAATTTTCATCGGACGTTACCATTCAACACTCCAAAATCGCCACCGGAGATGACTGCGTCTCAATTGGCCCCGGCACCGTCAATTTGTGGATGCACAACTTGTCTTGTGGACCGGGACATGGAATCAGGTACCTCATTCCGTATTTTTTTTACTGATCTCGTGTTTTTTTATAGTGAATTGTACAATAAATTTTGTACAAACCTACCTATGTTGTAGACTTGGATGTCCTCATGTTGCAAGTAGTATGGCAAATCAACTGTTGTTCCAATTTCCAAAGTGTTCTTATAAAAGTGCAAATTAAAAAAAAAACAAAGATGCACCATTGCACCTGTACAATTGGCCGGTGTTATAAGCCTCAACTAAGTTTAGTTTTTTAACTATGTTTTCTTTTGAACTGTTTTCAGTCCCAGATCAGATCAGACCAGACTTAAACAGATCCAGACTTGGACAGTTATAAAATATACAGAAACCATAGATTTACTAGACCAGACTTAAACAAACCAGATCGAATAGACCAACAAATTTCAATCAAAAAACACTCGTAGTATTCGAGCCTCATGTTTTAGGATAGAACAAGCTAGCTTAGATATGTTCACAATAGTTCGGAAAAGTAAAGTCATTTCTAGTTTAATCGATCTATTATATCACCAATTTCGATTTTGTATAAAAATAAATAGCTGTACATACACTTCTTTGAAGCGCAGCATTGGAAGTTTGGCCAAAGATTTAGAAGAAGAAGGGGTTGAGAATGTGACATTGAAAACAGCTATGTTCAAGGACACACAAAACGGTGTGAGAATAAAAGCGTGGGGCAAACCCAGCAATGGATTCGTCAAAAAAGTTGTTTTCGAAGATTTGATCATGTTCAATGTCCAAAACCCCATTCTCATTGACCAAAACTATTGTCCTGGCCATGTTAATTGTCCGCGTCAGGTACATTTTATTAAATTTATTTAATTATTACCTCACCACCTAGTTAAATTTATTATCACTTTTATGTGTCTGATTTAACACGATTATTAAAAAAGTGGTTGAAAACGTAAAAGTTATGGTTGAGATTTGAATATAAAATAAAATGATGCAGTCATGAAGATCACATATTTCTTTCCAAAATATACAATGTGACACTTATTTTGAAACAACCCAAAAAAGAAAGTAGAACAGATAAAATGAGATGAATGGAATATTAATTATTACAGAGTATTACAACTACCAAAATAGTTTTGAATTATTTCTCATACACCGGTAAAATATGAATTAATAATTGCATACTTCTATGTTGTTAGACATATCATACGTAGTACTAATAACCCTAAACCCTAAACCCTAAACTCTAAAACCCTAAATCTTAAACCCTAATTACATACTTCAGAAATGAATTCTCACTTTCACTATTGAGTCAAAGTTTACAAACTCTTACCATTGATTTAGTCCTGTAACTTTATTCAATTATAATCATTATTAGTCTTATAAGTTCACTCATTTGCATATTTGTTCCTGCAACTAATAAATTTTTGTAATTTAGGAATTTTACCATTGGAAAATACACTTCCCGGCAACAAATTCGCAAGAAAGGATGTCTTCGGCGTTGAATTTTCTGCCGGAAAGTATACTTTCCGGTGAAAAAGTCCTTACACTGCAAAGATTTGTTAATTACAGGACCAAATCTACAATCAAATAAAGTAATAAGACTAATAATGTGCACGGTCGAAAGTTACGAGACTAAAATTGCAATTTTTCCTTCGCTTTACACTACTACGTATATATTATTACTAATACTACATATTATAGTAATCTTAGTATTATTTTTTGAGCCAAAGTTCGTTGGTGAAGTTTGCCGCATAAGATTATATTTTTCTCATTATATTAAACAGGATTCAGGAGTAAAGATCAGCGACATTACGTACGAAAAGATAAAGGGAACTTCTGCAAGCGAGGTGGCGGTGAAGTTTGAGTGTAGCAAGGTGAACCCATGCGAGGGGATAAGGTTAAAAGACGTCAAATTGGGCTTCAAAGACAAACATGCTCGGGCCTCTTGTGCATACGTAGCCGGAAAGGCTTTTGGCCCAATCGAGCCTTCAAGTTGTCTCTAGCTACCTTTATTTTTATTTATTAGCTTACTTTTTGTTTATAAGTTTGTGTGATAAAACTAATTAAATCTAAGCTAGTTTGGGAATACATATAAAATAAGATATAGCTAGCTAGCTAGCTAGAGAATGTATACAACAAGCTAGCTGGGATTTTTGTTGTGTCTACCAGAGATTTTGTTATACGTAGTATTACTACATATTATAACTCGCAAGTCCAATCCCAACACATGTAATTGTGCTCCATACTTCCATCAGTGTATATAGAAATTAAATGGAAATGAAATTCCTGACCAACAAACAATAACAAAATGTGTACGCTTAGATATACGGAGTATGTTGGAACAAACTTCAAAAATCACACTAAAAGATGTACTTTTATCATTCTTTTATGGAACATCAATCATATCCATAATCCATCATACTCCAAGAGTCCAAGCCTTAGCTTATTACCAAGCCTTATTACCAAACTTTTTTGAGGCATGCTAACATGAATCCACCCATGATATCAGAATCAAATTGAAAAAGAAAGATGAGAAAAATAAAAGAATATGATAAGATAAAACGAATAAAATAAAGATAAAAGTAAATACACAATACCTCCATTATTAAATAAGAAAGATAATACAGAGTATGACGATAGGAAAAAGATAAAAGATAAACACAACATAACATAACATCATAAAAATAATGAAGATAAAAAGATAAAAGAAAGATTGAGAAAAAGAGAGAAAAGGGAAAGTTGTCGAAATAGGAGTAAACAAGTTACGTTCCGGAATTCCAAAATAAGACTATTGTGTTTTTCTTCCCAAAACATGAGTAATATGACAATATTTACACCCATCTTAGAGTAATTACTGCCTGATAGTTGCAGTACTTAGCATTAACGTGGCACAATTAGTATTTATTGTTGTTAATGACAATATTTTTCAATGATGTATGCTAATAATCACTCCTATTCTCAATTCCCTATAAATACATCCTTTTTTCTTTCCATTTTGATATTCATTCTTTCATATAATAAAGCTCAGTTTAGATTAGTATTTTTCTTAATTATATTTTCCAAGCATGTTTAGTCTCCAAATGAGGAGCTAGGATGTTTTTACTTGGACTATTTTTAGTCCCAGATCTGATCAGACCAGACTTAAACAGACCAGTCCAGACTTAAACAGACCAAATCAGACCATACTTGACTTCTGTAGTTATAAAATACACATAGCCCAGAAGTTTACCAGACCAGTTAAGATCAGACCAGACTTAAACAGACCAGACCAGACCAGCAAATTACAGTCCAAGTAAAAACATCCCTAAACTTTAACATGATATTTGTGAACAAATCTCAATTCGAAGCAGCAGTAGTAGTGTGTATGTGTGTGAAAAGCACATGATTTTTCAATAATTTATTTAGCTGACTTTTCGATTGTAATTTAAAATAAAAATTTGTTGACATTTCATGAAAAACATTCTCACGGAATTTTATCGAAAAACTCCCCCGAAATACCTCAAATTGTACGACACTCCCAATCAGCCGCGCCTAAGGTGAACTCTCCTCGTACTATACATACGACCTCCTAATAGGATTAGACCATTTGTAGTGGTCAAGAGTCTAAATTGTTAAATTTGGACTCCGTCCATATGAAAACAGTGTTTAGACTCCGTCAATTCTATATTTCTCTGCATCCGTGCTCCGTCAATAAAATACACTCAACATTTTTTTAGATATCAATTTATTAAAACATTAATTAATTTAAATTAAGTAATGTTTTACTTTTAATATTTTCTCTAAATAATTATGAAATAAAAAATACACATTTCGATGTAGAAATAAATAAATTTCATTAATTTTTTTATCGTTTTTCGGTTAACAAAAATGAACTTAGTTCAAGTAAAGTTCGATTATGAAATATTCAGTTATTTGTGAATGCTTCATGAATTAAAAAATTGTGATTCATGTTTTTTGAGAATCAGAAAAACTTCAACGGTTAAAACTTGAGATTTTTTTTTAAATTTTATATATTATATATTGGTGTCATATGAAAGATCACAAAAATTTATTAATTTTGATATGTTTTTTGAAAAATTTGGAATACAAATAAAAAAGTTATAAGAGTTTTAAAAAAATTGAAGTCTAATGACACAGGGATGACATCATCATTTGAGAGTCAATCCACCCTCTATTAATAAGACCCTCAACCCCCTTACCCACTTTTAAGACCTCTCTCAATCTTCCACTACACACATTTAATTTAGAAGTCCAAAAGTTCCATTTTTTAAGTTTTGGACTCCTAAAACCTTCCCACTCCAAATGGTCTTATGAATGTTATTGTTATTATTTTATCAACGTGTGTAGGTGAGTTCCGATCCAAAACAAAATGATAATTTGTTCTTTATCTATTATTTTATTGGAATAATGACATGAATAGTAGGGAGTATTAGATATTAAATGGACGAAAATAAGATTAAATTTTGATTTGGATAAAAAAAAAATGTGTCTTAATTAAGCTACTGCTAATATAATATGCAACACAATTTATTTTACATCCAAGCAAAATTATTTTTTAATTTTTCACCTCTGATAAGAACAACCTTTGTTTGACAATATAATGAAGGTTATGGAGCACTCTCGACTAATAGGTTTCCTCCAATTCGTTGTCATGTTATTCATAAAAACAAAATTAGAAGATTTTTAATACATATATTTAAAATCTGAATAAGTCATATTAGCCTTAAAACAATTATAAACTAATAAATATAAAAGTTTTTCGATAGATTTATGCAACCAGCATTAACAATTTTTCTAAATAGAGCGTTCGAAATTAGAGATAAACTAAAAACAAGATAATGCATAACTGCATATTATGACAATGAAAAAAAAAAACATAAGGTTTTATAGGCATTTGAAATAAAGTGTGTCATGTTTGTAGGGACTAAAACTTTATTTAAACTTTAAGAAGACACCATTACGATGAAATTGATGAAATACTCTCAATATAAATTCACAAAACTAATTCTAAATCTAACCTACACGGGCAGCTCAACTGATAAAGCGATGGGACAATTGGAGTATGACCAAGGATCAAAACCCACGACCGTGTGGAGGTCACAGTTCTTATGTGCTGGATTGGATCTCTGGTGCACACGAGTATAAATTCTACCACTATTGGAATTGATAGAGTCGCCGTGATTTACATCTCCCACATGCTCGGGTCAAGGCGTGGGAGGGCGTTTGATGTCGGGGATACAATCTTTTTTGGAGAGATTAGTGATTCACCATTACTCATTACCAATCAATCAATATGAAACTAATCATTAGAGTATGAGCAGGGGCGGAACCAGCCCAGTGCCCGGAGGTGCCCGTGCACCTGCGGTATTTTTGTTTTTTTATAATGTATATACATATATTTATATTTCATTAGTTGAGCACCTGCAGCCCAATCCCAAAAGTCTTTTACCTTAACCTTTCTCTTGTGCCAGCCCAAGCATAGAAATCTTTCTGGAGCAGCCCGCAGCCCAAGTCCCCAAAAGCCTAAAGAGTAAAGGCCAAGTCCTAACGCCCAACTCAACCCCCTGCATTTAGCTATTTTAGTAGTTGTTTTATTTAAATTTTATAGTTTTGTTTATTGATATATATGCGATGCATATGATTTTTGTTATAGTAGTACTACCTCCGTCCCGAAAACAAGTTCACATTTTCCTTATTTGGATGTCCCAAAAGAAACTTCCTATTTCCCTAAATGGAAAGTTATTCTACATCAAAACAATGTCAAACAGTACAAAACAGTGTCATATAGTGTCGAAATAGTGCCACACAGTGTCGAAACAGTGCAAAAGAGTAAAAATTTACCCCTCGGTAACTTTATTTCCTAAAAATTTGTGAAAGTCAACTCGGGAACTTCTCCCCGGGACGGAGGGAGTATATGATTTCTTTGTTATTGTGCCCCTGCGGGTCACGAGTCCTGGTTCCGCCACTGAGTATGAGTTTGGCACGAGAGTTTGTGTACATGTATAATTTGCACGAGAGTTTGGCACGAGAGTTGAGCTAACATTATTTTCTACCTTGAATACACATGCGACGTGCATTATAAAGCGTATCCCAAGCATACGTGCACTGTGACCATATTTAGAAACATACATTGCAAAATATAATTTGCGAAACATACATGCGGGTGAATTGTATGCAAATTAACTAAGGGGAAAATAATATGAATATCCCAAACTTTGAAGATGTGTAATGTAAGCACCCAAACTTTCATATGTAATGTACAGGCAGGGGAGGATCTATGTTAGGGCTATGGTGGGGCTGAAACCCAGGGCAAAGTAAAAAAAAATTAATTTTTTTAAGGTATTATTTTCACAAAATTCTATTCAGCCCAGCCCAAATTTTTCTATAGCCCAATCCAATTTTCCAGCCCAACCCATAAAACAAAATCATTCCATCTAAAAATCTAATCTAAATGTTATACGAATTACCTCCCACTTAACAAGAGGCACTTTTGTACATCGTATAAGGGTCGTAAAGCCCAAAAGGAATAAATGTAATAAATCCAATAAAATATGATTCAAATATGATTCACATCAACTTGTACAGTGTTTGAGTATATTCAAGAACATTGCCCAAAAGTGAGTTCTTGGGCAGAAGTTCATAGTGTATATAGACACTTTCCATGTTTTGAATTTGTGTTCAATTCACTTTTGATATAACGAGTATTCTTTGTCAAGACGTTCAAACAATTATTGGATATCTTGATAGCAATGAGACATGTTTCTACTACACAACTCATTCTCGGGGAAGTGACATAAAATGGATGTGAAGGCTTTCTTGAAGAAGCAAAGGAGTTTTGCTCAAAAAAGAAATTCTTGTACCGAAATTGAATTCTAAATATATGGTTGGTCATTGCCGAAAAGAAACTACAGTTGAGCATTCATTATCACTTTGATGTTTTCAATGAGGCAATAGACTTTGTATTGTTGAAGTTAAGGACTCGGTTTAATGATAAATCAATGGATCAAACTCCTTTCTTTGAGTGCTTCATTGGATCCCGAAAGTTCATATGTGTCATTCAATGCCGATGCAATTTGTAATCTCTTGCAAGGAAGTTCTATCCCGAAGGTTTTAGTAATGCTTTTGAATTCGAGCGACAACACTATGCTCATTATGTGATTCATGATACAAAGTTTCGAGTATCTACACTTGTTAAATTATGTGAGCACTTGACTAAGAGCAAATTATGTGAGCAC